TAATGAATCATAAAAGCTGAAAAAAAAATATCCTTCCTTAAACATGTAGAGACAAGAAGTATTAAATCTTTAATTTAGTGTCTTTTATTTATGACACTATGGGTCATAAAGAGTATCCAGATTTTGGATTAAAAATATCTTTGGAAGCAGACAAAAATGATTTTAGAAAGTTGGAGGTTTTTCTTGGATCTTCTGTGGTTTTCTTCATTGAGCAAATTTTTGCAAATAAGCCTACAAGCAGCCTGTTCAACCCAAACACTGGCAGAGTTGATAGAATATACTGAAATGTTATTGCTAGATAAATCGTCAACATGTAGATTATACAGTAGTTAAAGCTTCAAGTGTGTTGTATCTGTTATAGGCCAAACCTACAGTTCAAGCTTTTAAAAAATTACTGAGATAGTTTGAGAAGTTAGTAAAGTTATATGGTTCTTTCTAAAGGATACCACTTTTGGTAATGCTTAATTTTAACATATTTTCAGAAATTATATTAAATACTGCTCTGGAAACCTTTATGGGTGCTCCAATATTGGAGATTCTTAAGAAGAGATTGGATAACCATTTGTCTGAAATGGTATAGAATTTTCCTGCTTGAGCAGGAGGTTGGACTAGAACAGTGATGGCTAATCTTTTTGCCATTGTGTGCCAAAAGCGGGGGAGCGCGGGGGGGTCGTACATACATGTGCCCACACCCATAATTCTTTTTTTGTTTGTTTGCAAAATATTTTTCATTTTTTCCAACATAACAAATAAAATATATCTCTTTCAAGAGCGAAGTCTCGATCCGGTCATAGATAGGTACAATTGCTTACATTTTAAAAAACTCCATTCACAATTTCTCATTATATCTTTTAAAATTAATAATCAAAACGTAGAGAATTTTCTAGTCATAAATTCTAATATCTTGATCAGAACCATTCTATTATATCACCATCAATTTAATTTCCAAATACACATTTAATTCATTGTTATACTCATTTGTAAGTTCAATTATTTCTGATTCTTTTCCAAGCTCTCTTCATTACACCTTTTAACATCAATATTAAAACATTAAAAAAAAGAAAAATATTCTAATCTCTTAATCTAATTATTTACCTTATAATTTCTCACCACACATCTTAATTTCAATTTAACTACAGCTCTATTTTTTATTTCAATTTTTAAATCAAAATTCAATCCATATTTCTTAATCTCTTGACCCCTTCATCAGGTCTTTAAACTGTAAATCCTTATCAATTTGCCTTTAATTTTACATATTTCATATTACTCAAATTTATCTCAAAATCCATATCCTCCTCCATATCTCCTCCTATTGTGGCTGATTTCCAGCATATTATTGTTTGGCTGATTAACAGCATATTCTCCTCCATACCTCCAGTTTTTGTTTGGCTGATTTCCAGCATGCTTTATTTTGGCTGATTTCCAGCATAGTCACCTCCATACCTCCACCTGTTATTCGCTGATTTCCAGCATATTATGTTTTGGCTGATTTCCAGCATAATCTCCTCCAAACCTCCCACTATTATTTGGCTGATTTCCAGCATGTTTTATTTTGGCTGATTTCCAGCATATTCTCCTCCGAGTCTCCTTCTCTTATTTGGCTGGCAAATTATTATTATTATTATTATTATTATTATTATTATTATTATTATTATTTATTCAATTTATATACCGCCCTTCTCCTAGTGGACTCAGGGCGGTGCACAGCCAAAACTAAAATACATAACAATACAAAATTTAAAATTAATTAAAAGAATTATATACTTTGGCCCGAATTAAAACAATGCGAATTAAAACCCATTAACAGATTAAAACTAAACAATTAATAACCATTAAAAACTAAAAAAGGGGGCGCGGGTCACGCCAGCCCTGCTTGCTGCAAAAGAAGAGTTTTCAGGGCACGGCGAAAGACCCGGAGATCCGATATCCTTCTTATCTCTGGGGGCAAATCGTTCCAGAGGGCGGGAGCTGCCACAGAGAAGGCCCTCCCCCTAGGGGTCGCCAGCCAACATTGCCTGGCCGATGGCACCCTGAGGAGTCCCTCTCCGTGGGAGCGTACTGGTCGGTGGGAGGCTATCGGCGGCAGAAGGCAGTCCCGCAAATACCCAGGTCCTATGCCATGGAGCGCTTTAAAGGTGGTAACCAACACCTTGAAGCGCACCCGGAAGACCACTGGAAGCCAATGCATCTCATGCAGGAGAGGTGTCACATGGGAGCGACCCCTCACTCCCATAATCCCCCGCACGGCCGCATTCTGCACCAGTTGGAGCCTCCGGGTACTCCTCAAGGGGAGCCCCATTGCAGTAGTCCAGGCGGGAAGTGACGAGTGCCTGAGTGACTGTGCGTAAGGAATCCCGATCCAGAAAGGGATGCAACTGGCGAATCAGGCGGACCTGATAAAAAGCCCCCCTGGCCACGGCTGTCATATGCTCTTCTAAAGACAGCCGTGCATCCAGGAGGACGCCCAAGTTGCGAGCCCTATCTGTGGAGGCCAATAACTCACCCCCAATAGCCAGCAATGGCACCAGCTGGCTATATCGGGACGCCGGAAGCCACAGCCACTCGGTCTTGGAAGGGTTGAGTCAGAGCCTGTTTCTCCCCATCCAGGTCCGCACGGCCTCCAGGCACTGGGACATCACTTCAAGGGCATCGTTGGGATGGCCTGGGATGGAGATGTACATATTTATTATGCTTATTTACCAGCATATTATCCTCCACACCTAAATCTGTTATTTTAGCTATTTTATTTTAACTAATTCATATCATATTGCATAGATTGCTTTTTCAACACAATCCCTCAGTTTTGACTCAGCATAAATTTTAACACATATCTTGTCACATATTTTCTCCTGGGTTATAAATTCCCTTTAAAATCATCTCTCTTAATATTTATTTTAAAACTCAAAGATTCATTTAAGCATTTAGAACATTTTTTTAAAAAAAACATATTCCCTTCAATCATTGGTAGTCTTATTTCATGATCAAATATATATATTTATATAGTCCAATTTAGAATGAATAGAAATAAAGAGTAAAAAAGAAAAAAAAACAAAAGCAGAAAGGGAAGAAAGAGGGAACATAGAAATAGAGGAAAAAAGAAAGTAACAAAAGAAAGAAAAAGATCCGAAAAATAGCAAAGGGAAGAGAAAAAAAGAGGTATAATACCTCATATCAATATTCAAACTTCAAATATGCATTAGGAGTTACATTTCCATTTTAATCAAACTATGTTACTTTTCTTATCTTGCAACCTACTATATTTCATTTAATCTTTGTCCAATCTGTCCAAAATTGTTCCTTTTCAATTTCAATATTATCAAAGTTAAAAGTTCTATCAAGTTTAGTTCTTTTGTATCATTCCATATATAATATCATCATCTTGTCTTTTGGTGCCACGCCTTCTTTTTCTTTTCTTGCTGCACCTGTTAATTCAATTATAGTTATTCCATTTTATTTCATCTTTCTTTCCATCAATAATGCTTCCAATAGACAGATTGAGTGTCTCCAGAGTCAAAGCTCCTTATTTGTTGCCACAGTAATCCAGTTAAAATAACAAGACACATAGTTTCTCTTCCAAACTACTAGCAATCCACAATTACACTTTCACTTCGTCACAGTCTCCATTTTGTGTATTGCAAAACTATCTGCTTGTCTTTTCCCTTTGTTTTAGAAAAGTCCTATTTATCGCCTCTTCCCTCTTTCTCTCTTCCAAGAGAAATCCATTCCCGTTTTTAAAAAAACAATTTTCAAAGTTTTATAACTTTCCAGAAAGGCAGTCATTCCAAGTCAGACAATAAAATCCATAATTCTTTAGTGGGTCTTTCCCTTTTAAAAAGTATTTTGCAGATCTTCTTGTCCCAATACACTGTAGCCGCTAATTAAAGCTGGGACACACTTGTAAATATCCACAGTTTAAGCACTGTTCCCGCCTGGGTTTGATCTCGCTTACCCGGCATCTGAACACCTCGCTCTCTCTCTTCCTTCTTCCTCCAGCACAGTGCTTTCTCTGGTTGGCCTGGGCTTCGAGACAGCCACTATGGCTGCCGCTCCCCCGCCGCTGGCTCAGAGGGCTTCCTCCGGCTCCGAGGAACTTGCCCGTTCCTCTCGGCCATCCAAGGGGTCCCTCTCTCTTCTCCTGTCCCTTCAGGACAGGGTAGGTCCGCAGACCTGTCGGCAGTGGCTCGACAGTTGGGGGTTTTGCAGGGCTCGTAAGAGCCCCACCATTTCCCCAACTGAATCACCACGGCGCCCCCACACCTATAATTCTATGTGCCCCGCCCCTGCACATGTGTGTGTGACCCCCCCGTGCTTCCCCCGTTTTTGGCACATGATGGCACGGTGGGCTCGATAGGCCCATTTTTTGCCCTCCCCAGGCTCCAGAGCCTTTCTTAGAGCCTGGGGAGGGTGAAAATGGCCTTTCCCATCCCCCGGAGGCCCTCCAGAGGCTGGAAATGGCCTGTTTTCCGACTTCCAGTGGGCCCAGAAGACCCGAAAATCAGCTGGCCGGCACGTGCATGTGCACCGGAGCTGAGCTTACGTGTCCACCGATATGGCTCTGTGTGCTATAGTTTCACCATCACGGGACTAGAAGACTTCCAAGGTCCCTCCCAACTTTGTTATTCTGTTAATACGATGTACAATACAATGTATGACTACAATAAATTTCTGGTAAGGTTATTGAGATACATTGTGTATTAACACTTATAATGAACAATGTAGAGTTTGAAAAAGAGAACAAGAACTATTTGTACTCTTTGTGGGATAAATATGTAGTTATCATGGGGTAATTAGCCCATAGCCCAAAGGTTCTGCTTCTTAAATTCTTGTATATACATGTTGTAAATAAGAAATTATGTCCTAAATTAGTATCAGTAAATGTTGAAACTAAGTCCTGATTATTTATAGTAATTATTGACCCATTTCAGGTTAATTTAAAAGAGAATTATCTTTCTGGACATAGAATATGTTTAATAAGAATACTCTATCTTCATTTTGAACAGAAACTCGAGCAGATAGAACAAAGAAATTGTTTAGACATTATACTGTTGGATCATATGACAGCTTTGATGCTTCAAGGTAAGATGCTTTTATTTTATTTCATAATGTAAATTGTATATTTTTTCAATACTTAAAAAGTAAACTTTTCATATGTAGACTTTATCTTCAAAACTCTTAAAGCAGTATGTGTTTTTCACTCCCCATTTATAAACCCATTTATTGGTTAAATGGCATCTTTTGCTAGGATAGAGAAGCACCAAATGTCTTCCCAGAATGAACAAAGGATGATGCCATCACAGCCTGTGTTTCAATACATTTTAATAGTGCATAGTTTCTCTTACTTCAGCAGGCCAGTTAATTTATCCACAGATGCAATGTTCCTGGAATTCTCTTATGAATGAAAAATTAATAATTGCCTATAGATAGTCCTTATGATTGTTGAAGTGTAGAACCTACAACATTATTTATCTAATCAAAGAACACCTTCAAAAATTATCCCCTTTTTTATTCTTCCCATCAATTCTGGAGTTAAATTCTAATGCCGTATAACATGTCATCTTTTTAATGCAGTTTTGGAAAACTTGTTTTGGGGGCATTCTGTTAATTTTTGTTTAAAATGGTGGCTTGCTATTTCTTAAACTTCTATACTTATCTTTGAGTTGGGTTTTGTGGAAGACAATTTCTCCACAGACCGGGAGTGTGGAGGTGGTTTCATGTGCAACCTATATCCTGTACATGCGCAGATGAGCTTTGCTTGCTCGCCTGCTATTTGTGTAGCCCGGTTCAAGTGGTGGGATTCAGCCAGTTCGCACCACTTTGGAAGAACTGTGGTTATTAACTTGCTCAGCAGTTTGGCAAATTGGTTGTTGGAAGAAACCATTAGAGCAGAGAACTGGTTGTTAAATTACTTGAATCCCACCACTGCCTGGTTCCTAATAGGCCACGGAATGGTACCGGTTCATGTCCTGAAGGTTGGATCCCCGTTGTATGTATGTATGTATGTATGTATGTATGTATGTATGTATGTATGTATGTATATATGTATTAGAATTTGTCAAACAAAAATGAGAACGAGAATAAAAATAAAAATACGATGACAGGGACGATAGGCACGTTAGTGTACTTATGCACACCCACTCTACTGACCACTTAAGTATGATGTAAGGTCTATGGAAGTCAATTTGTGACTGAAACTGTGAAAATTTGTAGCTGAAACAACTGAATCAGGTAGAGCATTCCAGACTTTGACAACTCTATTACAGAAATCATATGACATATTCAAGAATAGAATTTGAACTGGTTTTGAAGAGATAGTATGAAGACAGAGGTATACAATTTTAGGGTGCTTGTGGATTTGCAATTGGTTGCAGCCTGAAATACTTCTACCCATTTTCTAGCTTAAGTATTTATAGATAGATTTCAGTGAATTGCATACATTAATGGAGGTGTTTTAATAACCTGCCATTAGTCTAAAGTTATAATTGCATGTGCAGTTCAGTTTCAATGTGCAACTTCCATGGCATAATTTGTTCGAAGCGGGTGGTTTGTATCTATAGTCTTATTCTCTTTCTTCAGTAATATTAGCATGTAAATGCCATATGTACACTTGGAAAAGAGAATACATTTTGCATATTTTATATAAATATAAAAAAAACTTAACAAACTGTTTACTCTGAACCTATTTTAGAGCAGTTTGAAACTAGAATGGTGTATAATAAAATGGCAGGGTATTTCTTTGCTAAGTACAGCATGATATGCACAGGAGAAAATAATAGCGAGTATAGATAATATGTCGGCAGCATTTTAATTAGGATAAGGTCAATAGTTGCTGTTATGCTACAGCTGCCAATTTCTGTTCAATCATGCTGTCTCGGCTGCTGAGATGTATGGTTCAGCTACATCTTGAAAGCTAAAGTTTCTCTGCCTCTATAGAAGGTTGGACTGAGTTCCTTGCTTTTCCATCCCTTTCCCAAAGTATCCCCAAAGGAGGAAACCTTTGGGGTGGTTTATGCACCCCTGGTTTTAGGGGTGCATAAGATGGACAATGATGGAGCAGATTAGTCTGCTTGCTGACATTAGATGTTGCTATGTACTATGTTTCCCTGTGTTATATATTTTTTGCCACCAAAAAATGCACCAGGTCTTATTTTCAGGGGGGGATGTTGCTCACTGATTTCACCTCACTTGCACGTGTTGCCCCCAGCCTCCTTTTCATTGTCAAAGGCCTTCAGTGATTTCTTCTGCAGCCAGCAAGGCAGGTGTCAGGGTGTGCGAGGCCTGGCTGCAACTGTCCAAAGGTAAGTAATAGGGTAGCACCACCCTCCCACATCCCCACCCTAGCTTAATTTTTACCTGTGTATCCTGGAGTGGGCGGGGTCTTAATTAGGGGGAGGTAGGGCTTATATTGGGTGCATGTCGGGGAAACATGGTATTTGTCTATATGCATAGATAGATTTGGATTTATCTTATCCTTAAAGGAACAGATTAGAAATGGCAAAAAATACTCAGTAGAGAATGGAAGAAATTGACCAGTATAGATAATGGTGAGTTGGATGGTCTAGTAGTTAATTCTCACTTACTAACTATTTCATTTAGTAACAGTTCAAAGTTATGGCAGTGTAAAAAAATGTTTTACAACCAATACATGCATTTATAACCATGGCAGCATGTAACACTAATGTAATCTATCGAGGGCCTACCTTTATGACGGGTTTTGGAACCCCGAGAGGTGGCATGTCGCAAAAAGGGGATTGAGGGGGTTTTTGGGGAAATTTTTAGATAGACTTTTAAGGGGTTCTGGGGGGGAGGGTTGTGTGGGTTTGGGGGATAACCCACGGGGAGAGGGGGCTGGTCCGGCTGCCAGTTGTGCCATGGGGGGTGCGGATTCTTGGGGTAAGGGGGGCATTAGAGTTCACTCTGCTGAGGGCTTTTCTATCAATACGCTGAGTGGGAAGGGCAGATATGGTGGGAACAGGGGGCCATATCATGTGGTGGGGGTGCGCACTCGCTATTTTCGAGTGGTGGCATGCCCCGGTCCCCAAAGCTCTTCTCGTTCCCCAGGTTGCACAGACTCTCAGGGCCCAAGCCTTCGGCTGTTGTTGTGCAATGCCAGTCCATGGTAAATAAAGCCCCCCTCATTTGCGATCTTATTCAGGAGAGGGGAGTGGACCTGGCAGGTATTACGGAGACCTGGTTGGGCTAGGAGGGAGGGGTTCCCCTCGTGGATATGTGCCCACCAGGCTTCCATGCATTCCATCAGCTGAGAGCACAGGGTAGGGTGGGGTGGTGGTGGTGGTTATTATAAAGGAAGGTCATGATCCGAGGGAGACCACTGTACAGCAGATAGTCGGATGTGAGTCCCTTTTTGTGAAGTGGGGTCGTGGGGTGCAGATGGGCCTGTTGATCACATACCTGGCTCCCTGCCACGTGGCAATGGCCCTGCCCGAGCTGCTCAACATCATAGCCGGGGTGGCGGTCGATACGCCCAGGCTTTTGGCATGAGGGATTTTAACCTGTCATCCATTGGTGAAACGTCTGAGGTGGCTCGGAGTTCATGACTTCCATGACGGCCATGGACCTGACTCAGTTAATTCATGACCCTACTCACATGGGGGGGCACACTCTGGACTTAGTTTTTGTCTCTGGTCAGTGGTCGAGTGGCCTTGATACAGGGGATATAGTCATTGAACCCTTGTCATGGTCGTATCACTTGCTCCTTCGACTTGACTTTCTAACCGCTACACCCCGCCGCAGGGAGGTGGAACCGATTAGGTGGTTCCGCCCCAGGCGCCTGATGGATCCTGATAGGTTCCAGATGGAGCTTGGGCCATTTCCTGAGACTCTGGCTCATGACTTGGCTGAAGACTTGGTGGCTGCCTGGGATAGTGCGGCCGCTGGGGCTTTGGACCGCGTCATGCCTTTGCGGCCTCTGACCCGGCAGTGAACTCACCTAGCTCCTTGGTTCTCTGAAGAGCTGAGGGAAAAGACACCTGGAGAGTGGTTGGAGGACCAGCCATTCTGAATCTGCCTGAACACTGGTGAGGTCTCATATTAAGACTTACCTAGTGGCGATAAAAGTGGCAAAATCTAGCTATTTTTCCGCTCTTATCGCATCAGCAGATAACCACCCAGCCATCCTGTTTAGGGTGACCCGCTCCCTCCTCCATCTGGGAGCGCGGGATGATCCCTTGCAGGATCGAGCTGAGGATTTTTTTGCAGTATCTGAATGATAAAATCGCTCAGATTCGGGAAGGCTTGGCCTCTGACTGGGTAAGTTCAGAGGGGATGATTGAGGCAGATCCTGAGAGTGTTATCTGGGAGGAGTTTGATCCTGTGGCTCCCAAGGATGTGGACAGGATTCTGGGACAGCTGAACGTGACCACATGTTTATTGGACCCGTGTCCCTCCTGGTTGGTGCTGGCTTCCCAGGAGGTTACACAAGGCTGGCTCCAGAGGATTATTAACGCTTCTTTGAGTGAGGGTGTCTTGCCGGCTGCCTTGAAAGAAGCGGTGGTGAGGCCCCTCCTCAAGAAGCCCTCTCTGGATCCGGCTGTTTTGGCTAACTATCGTCCAGTCTCCAACCTTCGTTTTATCGCAAAGGTTGTTGAGGGTGTGGTGGCGCAGCAGCTTCTGCAGTACCTAGATGAAGCTGTCTATTTAGATCCTCTCCAGTCCGGCTTCAGGCCTGGGCACAGCACGGAAACGGCATTGGTCGTGTTGGTGGATGATCTCTGGAGGGCTCGGGGTAGGGCTCGGGGTAGGGGTTGCTCCTCTATCTTGGTCCTCAGATAGAGGATAGATCTCTCAGTGGCTTTTGATACCATCGACCATGGTATCATGTTGCGCTGGTTGGAGGAGTTGGGGGTGGGGGGGCACCGTTTTGTGGTGGTTCTCCTCCTATCTCTCTGACCGGTTGCAATCTGTGTTGGCAGGGGGGCAGCGGTCGAACCCGAGGTGCCTTGTTTGTGGCGTGCCGCAGGGATCAGTCCTCTCGCCCCTCCTGTTCAACATTTATGTGAAGCCGCTGGGTGAGATCATCCGTGGCTTTGGGGTGGAGTTCCATCAGTACGCTGATGACA